AAAAAGTTAAAAAATTGAGAAATCTATAAAAAATGACGTGCAAATAGAATAAAGAGAATGATTTTCTGGGATTTCAAACTGTTTTCCGGTGGTATCGAACTCTTTTATTTTCAAATGATCTACGGAGTGGGTTTCTCTTTCGCTTATTCTCTTCTCTTGGTACTTCTATATGTATATCCACAAATTTTTTTTGTAACGAAAACATCAAATTTTCGCTATTTTTTAGGATTTTTTGCAATTTACTCGAAATTGGGGGGTGACCGGCCAAAACTAACTCAAAATTCGGATTCAGCGGGTCGAAAAACATGCCCGTAGGTAGGTGGCGTCCGGTGTACAGAACAAAAATTTTTTTTTGTGTGCCGGTGTTATTGATATATAATGCAAAGATTGTTACATTGGTATTTAATAATATAATTTATTTAACATGAATTAGAAAGCAGCTGCTGACAAATACAATTTACAAATTTTCTTTTGTTTATGAAATTGTTCGAAAACTCGAAAATTTTTAAAAAACATTTGAGCGATGAACGAGTTTCGAGCGAGTATCGAGCTACTCGCATTGCTCGATACCCGGGTATCTAGAGCTCTAATCTGTATGAAAACTTCCATGCAAATCAGTTCACTTGTTTCCGCGTATTAATTAAAATAAACATTTCTAACAGGTGGCAACTCTTAAAAAAGTAGCCTACTTTCCAACCTATGTCATAAGCTATCTGTGTGCAAATTTTCATGCAAATCCATTCAGTCGTTCCCGCATATTAAATAAATTAAACTTTTTTAACAGGTGGCAACTCTTAAAAAAGTAGCCTACTTTCCAACCTATGTCATAAGCTATCTGTGTGCAAATTTTCATGCAAATCCATTCAGTCGTTCCCGCATATTAAATAAATTAAACTTTTTTAACAGGTGGCAACTCTTAAAAATAGCCTATTAACCAATCCGCCCTATAAGCTATCTGCGTACAAAATTTCATGCAAATCCGTTCAGTCGTTTCCGCGTGATGATTTCCCAAACATCCAAACATACAAACTTTCACATTTATAATATTAGTAAGATAAGATTCATGTGATTAGCAGTGGCAAAAATGTATGTATAAAATACGTATATTTATATTAAAAATTAAGTGATCAGTTATCAAACATATAAATCTTTACATGTTCTGTTAAAAAATATCTTAAATAACAAGCGATAATCCCCAAGTTCTATATCGTAGCATTGGCCACATTGCGTGATTGTCACAGACACGGTTTATGTCAAAAATTTTGAAGTGAAACTACCTTCTAAAAATTATTGTAGCATGGGGCGTTATTATTTAATATTCATTACATCCGATTCTAAAACTTTATACAGAGTTTATAAAAATTTCAACAAAGGGGTACAATAAAGTGCAAGTTTCAAGTGTCTGTAAAATAGCGGGATTTTTGACAATCTTTTTGGTGATGGTGCTGCGCATTTTATCTCATACAAAGTATGCTCGAAAAATTTTTATATGGAATAAAATGCTATATTTTTACTGTAAACTGTAAATACTACGGGTTGAAAGGGTATGGAATTCAAATGACGAGGAGTGAATATGAGCAGCGGTGATCACTACAGCAAGTAAACGCGAGCTGAAAGTGTGATTGTGTTAGTGTGCCAATTACATCCCAGTAGCAAAAGGTAATAGCAAAATACGCATCAGTGTTGCCACACATGGGCTTTTCCTACCAAAACTGGTAGGTTTTTTTCCATTTGGTAGGTTGGTGGGCTTAATTGGATTTTGGTAAGTTCCGTGAAAATAAGTAATAGTTATTTACGAATAATAAAAAATATCTCCAAACATTTTAGCAACCTTTTTTACATGAATATTTCACAGTTGCGTTCGTATAACGGCGGCCGTAAACATGTAAATATACCTGATTTCTAAGTACAAACGTATACCCTTATTATATAAAATATGAACTCCATATAAACTTTATGGCATACTTGGACAAAGATTACAGAAATGTCTGCCAATGGGCTCGTACCTAACCATATTCCAGGTGGAGCTCCTCGCAATCGAAGTCTGTATTCGCGAATGTCATCGTAAAAGGCAAATGAGGCCATAATAAATGATGTATTTTGGAACGAATTTCCGTCATCCTTTATCAAATTTGGTTTGGAGACAAACCGGTTTCGGCGTTGTGCCATCTTCAGTGTCATTTTTCGTTCTGTATAATTTTTGTAGGTTGCTCGTATTTATACTCCTTGTTAACTACCTCTTTCTTTTGTTAGGTACGTCTTCTTAGTTTTGCAGTGTTTGCGGTGCTCAATAGGTAGATGAATTGTTCTGGCTCTTTTTGATTCTGGTGATTTTTATCTTCTTTGTTTTTGCAGTTAGTGTATTCCCTTCCATGTCTGTCCTTAATATTTTGTTCAAAATACATCATACACCCACCCTGTCGGGAACAACAACAACCAAAAAACCATAATAAATATTATGTCGGACACTCAGCCTGCCTTAAAGAACTTAGACCCTTTAAAACGGCATCAAGGTTTGTGAGCTCTTGAACGTCCTGGGAACCCACAATAGCGTAACGCTGTGGTGGGTTCCGGGACATGAAAGGTTTGAAGGCAACTACAGGGCTGACTGACTCGCAAAGCGTGGAGATCAAATGCGCTTGCATGATCCTGAGCTATTCAGTGGTACATCTAAAGGATACACTGCAGAACTACTTAGGAGCTAGCTGGGAACAGTCTCAGATTACTGCCCACTGGCGGAAGTCAAAACGAATAAGATAATCAAAGAGATTCATAGCTCCTTCCAGGAGGAACTCCGAAAGACTCCTTGAACATAAAACCCTTACTGGATACGTGACAGCACACTGCAAGTTAACATACTATTTAAATTAGGTGGGTCTTTCTGTAGAGGCCGAATGTATATTTTGTGGGCTGGTGGAGGAGACCCCATAGTATATTCTACGAGCCTGCCCACGAAGCATGAATCGCGATTCATACACATTGGAGAGCGACTGTCTTCTCCATCTAAAATTTAGAACATGGCATCATCCAATGTGCTTAGCTTTTTAAATAGCCTAAGGTTGGAGTGATTACAATTTGGGTTTAGCACAATATATCTTCTTAGGTCGCAGCGCGAGTATCTCCGACGTAATAATAATAATAAAGATACATACATTTGGATAAGTCTGTACAGTAAAATGAATTGTTATACACAGATAAATTGTTTGTATTGTATTAGCTGTGTTTAAGTTTTACTAAATATTATTTTATCTATATTTTTAATAAAGTTAACATCGAAAAAAATATTAAAGACTTAAAAATATGTTTAGTAGGTTTTGGTTGATTGTGGTAGGAAATTTTGGTAGGAGAAAACATGTGGCTGTGGCA